GGAACTGAGAGAATTAAGTCCCAGTGCCCTCCACTGTCCTTGATGCGTAATGAATCACATCTCCCATTTTTGGGACAATAGTCCCTCATTTCATTTGCTGTGTTCTGTGGTTCAGAGGAAGAACGCTGGTAGAGAAAGACCACATGACTCCAAAGTTATCACCACCCCCTGTGCACAGGTGGGGGAAAGTGGGGCACCTGAGCCAGCGGTGTGGAGGACAGTGGGCCCACGCAGTGTCCTTGAGGCCTGAGCCCTCCTCAGTGCAGATCCCTCCTGGGTGAGGATGAGAGGTCGGAGGTTGGCACTGAACTCTGTAGCTGTCAGCATAGGGGCATCTTCGAGAGGTCTTCACAGCGAAGTGCCAGTGTGTGGGGGGCACTTGGTCTGCGCCAGCTCTGCTGTGGGTGTCACTTAATTCTCAGCACGGCTTCATGAGGTAAGGGAGTGCTGTGCCGCAGTTCAGGGAGGAGTCCGTGGGAGCGCAGGGCCCTGTGGCTGCATAGTCTTGCTCACTTGGCTATTTAATGCCCAGATGGGAATTATCTGCTTAAGTCTACTTACCAGAAGCTTACTTGCTGATTGGATTTACACTTCTCTCCTGTCTCCACTGCTTAAAATTCTATAACAAAAATCAAATCAGCATTTTGGATAAATGCAGAGAATATTGAAGCAAAATTCAGTTTGGTATGAAGAGTACCTTGCCATATACAGGTTTGTGGATTTCCACTGTGGGAAAGGAGCTTTTTACTTTTCGTGTGATTGATTATTAATTAAATTGGCCCTGTTGCATTTAATGCCATGGCATCTTTCACTCATGAGGTCTTGGGGGCGTGTGGTCATGGCAGGGTTCCCTGTGGAGACCGTCTGTGTGCTGTTGAGTGCCTTCAAGGATCCATAGATGGAGAGACTTGCTTAACTAACGCAGGGAGTGTATAGGTGATTTTGAGCCATCTCAAATGTTCATGACACATTACCAGATGGCAAGGTGTGTCATTTGGGATCATGTAACAGAACAGCCTGCCCTGAAGGCTCTATCAGGTAAAGTTGTTTTTTTCTCTTGAGCAAGGAGTCCAGAGGCTGCCTGCCGGGGCCAGTGGATGCTCAGCTCGCTGTGGGGCTCAGCTTCCCCTCTCCCTGCCCTGCCTTCTTCCCTCACAGCCTTCTCACAGTGCCACTGGACAGTGTCCAACCTGGGTTCCAGGACCTTGGGTGTAGGAGAAGACCTTCAACGGGAGGCAGGCATGGGTAGTTTTAAAGGAATCAGCTTTCAGATCATCCTACGTAATTTTTCCTGAAATTGAATTGCCTGAGAACGTGTGTTTGAGTCCAGGAGTTTTACATGTTCTCCTGTCCACCTTTCCTTTCACAACTGCCTTTTCTACTTTCCAAGAAATTAGTCATATTCCTTAACCCAGCTCTCACCATGGTGCATCACCCTAGGGTGTTTGTGAAAACAAGAGATCTTCAGAGCAGCAGACCCAGGACGTTGAGAGCACTGGTTCCAGGGAAGTGTCTCATAGAGATTAACACGGCCCAAGGGACTGTGGCCAGCCTGCCCTTTCTTGGGCAACGGTTTTTTGAGGGGTGAATATTGAGATGTTCTGAATTGAGATATGTTGTAGAGGGGCTACAGGGGTGTGGACCTTTGTTGTTTAAAGCCCTCACCTTTTCTAACCGTCTGCTGTTGTCAGAGAATGAACTAGTTGCTTTTTATTTTTTTATTTTATTGAGATCATAATAGTTTATAACGTTGTGAAATTTCAGTTGTATGTTGAGAATGAACTGCTTTTAAGAAGAGAGTCCATGAAAACAACAGCGTTGGTAAGTGTAAGTGTGAGCAGGTCTTTTCGGCTACTGACATTTCATCCTCAGGATGTGTTGTTAACTGGGAAGAGAAAGAGCCTTCTGAGGGTAAGAGCAGTTCCAGTCAACGGCACCGGTTCTTTTAACTGTGTGTCTGCAGGGCTGCCAGATTTTCAGACACTGGGTTGAAGGTACAGATTAAGAAGGGAAGTTTGTGTGGTTTTTTTTCAGATTGTGTGTACTAATACAGTAGTTAAAACCAATTTAGTTCATCCTATATCATGAAATATTCTAGTTATAGTTGATCTTATATCCTGTTATAAAATTAATGCCTCTACATTCTACTAACAAAAATACAATCATATTCTAGTTACTAGCTAGTTTTTTAGCAGTGTATGCTTTAGTGTTTCATCAAGTATAAAGGAAACGTGTGATCACGATGTTTAGCACAGTTAGTGGAATTACTTCTGACTTTGTACACATAACGTTTACATAACTTCCCCGTAGTTGAGTAGCACACATGCTACCACACTTAAGGAGCACGAGGTTTTGATCATCGCTCCTGCTTCTTGGATGACTCAGAGCGTGGCTGGCACAGTTGGCATTGAATCAGTACAAAATAAATAGTGAGAAATAGCTAGATTTATCTTGTTTTTATGTTATAAAACCAGATTATAAATACTAGATATATCGGGGCTGGCCCCGTGGCTTAGCGGTTAGGTGAACGCACTCCGGTGCTGGCGGCCCTGGTTCGGATCCCGGGCACGAACCAACGCACTGCTTCTGCAGCCATGCTGAGGCCGCGTCCCACATACAGCAACTAGAAGGATGTGCAGCTATGACATACAACTATCTACTGGACCTTTGGGGGAAAAAAATAAATAAAATTAAAAAATAAATAAATAAAAATAAATACTAGATATACATCATTTAAATCTTGGCTGCTTTTATTTTCTTTTTTATAATTTTATTTCTTTATTTATTTTTCCCTCAAAGCCCCAGTAGATAGTTGTATGTCATAGCTGCACATCCTTCTAGTTGCTGTATGTGGGCCGCGGCCTCAGCATGGCCGGAGCAGTGGTGTGTCGGTGCGCACCGGGATCCGAACCCAGGCCGCCAGCAGCAGAGCGCGTGCACCCAACCACTAAGCCACAGGGCCAGCTCAATCTTGGCTGCTTTTAAAAGTAATCTAAAAAGATACATTATTTATTATTTGATGCCTTCCTTAATTGATTCCACAGTGGTTTTTATAATATTTCCTGAAACATGTTTCAAGATGTTTATTTGAATTAAAAAATGAAGTTGGGGGCCCAGCCCCATGGCGCAAGTGGTTAAGTGCACGCACTCTGCTGCTGCAGCCCAGGGGTTGCCAGTTCGGATCCCCGGCGTGCACAGACGCACCGCCTGTCAGGCCACGCTGTGGCGGCATCCCATATAAAGTGGAGGAAGATGGGCACGGATGTTAGCCCAGGGCCAGTCTTCCTCAGCAAAAAGAGGAGGATTGGCAGATGTTAGCTCAGGGCTGATCTTAGCTTGGCTGATCGTCTGGACAGTGAGGCCTGACCGTGCTGCTTGGGCTTCGTGGCACACAGTGCCCCTAAATCGAAGGAGCTGAGCCTGCAACTGCAAAGTTGTGATGAAATTTTATTTAAATAAAATGAGCATTTTATTTAAAAATACATTTTTTTAATTGGCAAAAATGTATGCTGACCATGTCTGAGTTTAGCAGTAAGTGGTACACACAGACACGAGAGCTGCCTGGAGAAAGAGTGGTCAGTCACACTCTTCTTGAGATGCATTTTCAGTACAATTTCATGATTATCCATCAAAGTTTCAGTTTTGTTGTTTTGATTGGGTTTGCATTACTAATAATTGCAATGGTAACTCAATTTTTCAGACGAAAAATTTTAACTCCTATGAAGTATATCTAAATAAAAATAAAATTTCAATTTATGTATGTATTTTTATTGCAGGGAAATATTCTAGGGTGATAAAAGACTTCAGAGCATAAGAATGCATTCAGGTAGGATTCCAGAGGTGGTGGAATAGTATACCCATTCATGGAGAGTAGGAAGTAACGTAGAATTTCTACCTGTTAGGGAAGAGCGAGTGAATTCTGCACCTCACCTCCTTCCTCACCCTAGTCCCAGCCCAGTTCTGCTGTTTGGAAGCCGTAGAGCAATTAGGAGAAGTGTGGAGAACAGCCAGAGCGAGTCCAGCGTGAGGGTGGTTGGGTTCCATGCGGCGCAGAACTCGGCAGATGGAACAGAAAAGGCCGTACTCAGAAATGCGGTGGAACTGCATTGCCCTGTGGTGAAGGGGACTGAATCGGTGCTCCTCCGGGAACCGAGACTTGCCGTCACACGTCCTCAGTGGTAACTGCACTCCAGAGATAAAGAATTCCTTAGGCATCTAGGAAGAAAACATCAGGCCGTGTGCAGGAAGATGCACTGTAGGTTGTAGGGCCTCCAGAGCCCTTCTGTCGAGGGTCAGGAGCTTCATACCAGCTGGGTGCTGCAAGTATGGAGGCCACAGGCATCCATGGGCTTGAAAGCGCTCAGGGCATGCGGGGCTGTGAGAGATGTCGGAGGCATTTGGAGTAAGATGAGCAGGGAAGCAGGCATGGTGCTCGCATGGGGCTCCCGGTCCAGAGTTGGGACCTCTGGGCTCACATTGGCATGGAAACCTTAGAGCAAAACCTGATGTAACAAAAACAGCTCATCCTATGTAGCAGAGTTAACCAGTCCTGTTTAAAATGGAAACTTAGGGCTGGCCTGGTGGCATAGTGGTTAAGTTCCTGCACTCTGCTTCAGCGGCCCGGGGTTTACAGGTTTGAATCCCCTTACAGTGTGGGGGACTTAGACACTGCTCATCAAGCCATGCTCCGGCTCTCCTGCATGCCTAGAGCTGTTGGAGTTGGAGGGTAAAAAAGGATCTCTGCCCTCAAGAAATGCACAGCTGGAGTCTGATTGCTGTCTGTCCAAAAGAGACGTATGAGAAGTTTGCTGAACTTTCTAATCAAAATCCTGTTTTATTCACCTCTTAGCTGGTGACTCTCTGTGTTATGTAATGTTAATGTTAAGTCTGTGGGGCGGTGCAGTGACAGCGGGAGGGCTGTGTCCCAGGGTGTGGCCTCAGTGAGGGCAGGCCCTGAGCCGTGCGCTGTACGTCGTGTGTGTTGGTGTGTTTCCTTTTAGGAGCTCCAGGGTCTGCTCAGAGGAAAATGAGAGATGGCAGAGTCAGTCCTACTCACTTCCCTGCGAGCCAGGGCGGGTGGCTGTGCGGGAACCTCGTGGTGCCCAGCGGAGGGCTGCCAGCCCCAGCTGCAGCAGCCAGGGTGCAGTGCGTTCAGGTCCAGCTGCTGCAGGTAAGAGCCGGCAAGCCAGAGGAGACGGCCAGGCGAGGGCTGTGGGTGAGGCCTCCGGCCGCGTCTCCCAGCCTGCCCCACTGCCCAGTGCTCCACCCCTGCAGCAAACTGCCCCACCCCACCCCGCTCCTGTGGTACATCCTAAACATCTCCATTACCACAGCTCCTCCTTTCTCCCTGTCCTGTCACTCCCCATCTGTCCGAGCTTTCCCCTCTATTGTAAGGGACACGTCTGCATCCTAACGCTCTCCCTCTGTCTGGCACCCCCCGTGTGGTCTGTCATCTGCACCTCACCTGGAGTTCTGTGAGGTGTAGACACTGTGCCTGCTCTTGTTGCTGGCCACTCGGACGCTGTTGGCGCCTGACTTCTCACGGCCCTGCCCCTCCCCAGCCCCTGCTTCTCTTTTCAGGGCTGGGGTGAAAGGGCTTCCTCAGCAGCTTGGTCACCCCCATCTCTGGGGACTGCTCACGGTGCACCAGAGGATGTAGCCTTTATATGTTAAAGATGCTGGCTTTTTTTCCTCTTGTCTTCCCTCCCAAACTGAGCCTCTCAAGGGCAGGGCCAGCCACTCTTAGACTGTGCCTGGGCCCCAGCAGGCGCCTGCAGCTGGCAGCCACTCTGTGGACGCTTCCTGGACACACTCACCTCCGCGGTGCTGTGTACTCCTTCGTTTCCAGTCTCACTTTTGAGGGGCTGGAATAGGGAAGTACAGTAATTGGGGAGGGTTTTGGGAGAGAAGAGGTTTAAAAGCTAAGGATAATGAAGCTGTGACCTGGCCCAATCACGTGCCATCTCTTCACTGAGCATCTTCTGGGCCGCAGAGGACTGTGCAGCTGGGGAGGCACAGAGACATGCTAGGCCTACTGAGCGCTGAGCTGAGTGAAAAGAGGAGGGTGGCCAGATCCATGGGGGTCCGTAGTCCTGGGAGAGGCTGTGGGGCGTCTGTAGGACTCAATAGGGAAAAGAGAGGCAGGAACGGCCTAGGTGGAGCTTGGGGAGGGCCTGGAAGCCGGGCCCAGGGGGCGGCCTCACTCTGGTGGAGAACCAGAAGCCCGTGTGAGGATTTGGTTGGGGCAGGACGTGTCTGCAGAGATGAGCAGGAAAACATGTCCCTTCTTTCCAGGTTTGGGGCCAGGGAGTTGGAGCAGTAAAGAGATAAAGGACTCTCTAAGGTAGCGGCAGTGGAGGCTGAGGGAGGACCTCACGGCCGGCAGGTCAGAAGTGGGGAAGGCAGGAGAAGAGGTTTTGAAATGGAGACTGCAGGAAAGCTGGTACCACTGGCAGAAAAGGAGCTGGTTAGAAACGGAGTAGTGGCTATTTTTTTAAGAGACACCCAATTAAAGATGTAAGCTTTGAGGCAAGAAATCTGGATTGTAGTTCTTTATCTTTCCCTTACCAGCTTGTGTAGTCTCGGGCAAGTGACTTAAGCACTCTGGGCCTTCGTTTTATCGTCTCTAAAATGGGAGTGATAGTGCCCGGTGCTCGACACAGAAGGTTCTTGTGGAAGGAATGAGAGATGCTGGCGGTGGCGTTAGCACTGGGACTTCAGTGGTGGGGGCTCTAAGTGGCTGTGGGCTGCGGGCTGGCCGCGCAGGTGGAAGGTGAAGTGTCAAACAGTGTCCCTTTTCTTAATTGGACGATTCGGGGTCTGGGAATCTCCCTCTCGGGGAGACCCGCAATCTCCCTGGTCCCTTCCAGCTCAATTGTGGGCTGGGGCCAGGGCAGAGGTGAGCCTTTCCTTGCAATCTTAGAAGGTCGCTGGAGAGCGGCGAGGGCACTGGTGGCGGGGGTGGGGGGCCCGCTGGGAGCCTCTGCCAGAATTCGGGAACAACCCATAGAAGGGAAATGGTGCTTGGACCGGGAGGTATTTGAGTGTAGGAGAGTTCCAGGAGAAGGGCCTGGGAGGGATGAGCAGCCAGATGGCAGGTGTCCTCAGGCTGGGATCAAGGTGAGAGAAAGGATCAGGAGGAGGAGCAAGCAGCGCCCAGCCCCTGATGCCAACTACTGCTGGGTCCTCAGGCCTCGCCTGCTCAGGTTGTCTCGCCTGCAGTACAGTGGGTGGGGCTGGTTCTACTGCGTATCAGTGACGAGACTAGTCAGCCCCGGGGGGAGTGTTGCCGTGCTCAGTTGACACAGCTGTGCTGTTGCCTCCCCAGGATGACCCAGCAGGTGAAGGAGTCTTGCCAGTGGCCCTCAGCCCACAGCCTTCCACCTTCCACCCCCTGTTCGCAGTCGATTTGCCCGTCTACGTCCTCCAGGTCTGCACGCCTTAGACTCTTCGGGTTTGTTAGTAAGACTCATGAAGGTTTTAGCTCCATGAGGCTTGTCACTGAGGTAGCCCTCATGTGGAGACTCAGTGGGTTGGTTGCCAGGATGTTTGCTGTTTTCTAGAAAAGGTGGGTAAATGACCAAGAAATAAAGGGCTAAGAAAACTCAGATTTGCTCGTCACTGTAGCTCCTAATTGTAAACAAGGTGAAATTTAATATAGTCTTAAAATATTTTAATTTTTTTTTTTTTTTGGGGGAGGAAGATCAGCCCTGAGCTAACATCCATGTCAGTCCTCTTTTTGCTGAGGAATATCGGCCCTGAGCTAACATCTATTGCCAATCCTCCTTTTTTTCCCTTTTTCTCCCCAAAGCCCCAGTAGATAGTTGTATGTCATAGTTGCACATCCTTCTAGTTGCTGTATGTGGGATGCCGCCTCAGCATAGCCGGACAAGCGGTGCGTCGGTGCGCGCCTGGGATCCAAACCCGGGCTGCCAGTAGTGGAGTGCGCGCACTTAACCACTAAGCCACGGGGCCGGCCCCTTAAAATATTTTATATTTAGAAATTCTAGTCATTTTCTCCTATGGGAAGTAGGTTTGCCAGTTTTTAACCTGTGGCAGAATAAACTCAGACGAATTACAATCATGTGCCGCATCACGACGTTTTGGTCAATGACAGACTGCATATACGACGGTGGTCCCATAAGATTAGCAGCACGTAGCCTAGGTGTGTAGTAGGCTGTACCATCTAGGTTTGTGTAAGTACAGTCTGTGATGTTCGAATGACAATGAAACCCCCTAACGACACTCCTCGGAATGTGTCCCCTTTGTTAAGTGATGCACAACTGTAAATAGTTTGCTTAAGTAAGTGGTTAAGCTGAGAATAGGTGGCAGTAGATAATTCAGATTTGGATATAAAATAAAGTATGTAGCTTGTCAAATTTCTAACAATTTGGCTTAAATATATATTTTTAAGATCCATACAAATAGTAATTTTAGTTTTGTTGCATTCAAATTGGGCTGTTCAACATTTTCCTTAACATCAAAAATAGACATGGAGTAAAGCGATGGTACGAGGCTGCAGTGGGGCGGCTCCTGGACTGCTGGAGTCGGGTAGATGGGAGGGCGGTTTGGTAACATGTAGCCAGAAACCCCATAAATGTCTGCTACATTCTCTCTGGCATTCCCACTCATGAGATTGTTCCTAAAGAAATCAGGTAGTATACAAACAGTTAACCCAAAGATGTTCATCATAGTCTCGAATCTAATGCTGTGGGAATGTTTCTTGTAGCAGGGGGACATGGATTAGACAGGTGACGCTGTATCCGTGCGGCTGGAGTCCTGGTCAGCCATTGATGACCAGGCACATGCCTAATAATTGGGAAAGATGCTTCCTGCATACCAAGTGGGAAAAAGGATTATAGATTAAATAAGGACAATCTCAGTTTTGAGAAGACCCACAGCACAAGTATTGGGGTCATTTTTCCATATTTTTTTTTATAGTAAAAGTTTTTTCTTCAAGGAACCTACATTTAAAATAAGAGGAAACCAAGTTCTTTCTCTTCGAGAAAGGCACACCTTTCCGGCCCCAGGGCTTATGCTGGTGGTTGGTGAGCGGCTGTGAGGCTGCCTTCTGTGAGGTGGTCCTGGCTGCCCCAGCCCTGCGCTCCACCCCCTCCTCACTGCTCTGCTTGCTTTTGCAGGAGGTGCTTCCTGCAGCTGGTGGGGCTGCTGGGCCTGAGGACATGCAGTGCCCAGGGAGCACGGTCAACCTACGGGACCTGCAGTGAAAGCTGCCCTCTGCCTGGGGACCAAGGGCAACACCTCCATCTCTGTGCCCCCACAAGTCTCTTCCGTGGTCTTGCAGGCCTGGGTGAGACCTTGGTTTCTGCTCACAAGGGCAGAGACTTTTGGGTACACTTATGGAAAATCTTTTTCTTACGTTTTATCAGGAACCAGTTTGGGGCTGTACTATTTGAAACTGCCTTGTACGAGCAGAGTGCTTTGATGAGGCCAGGACCGCCTTCAGAGCAAAGCGCGCCACTTTTCCGTACTGGGCTGCGCGTGGACATCCCTTGTCTCATTCGATCTGAGCCGTGGAGCACTTGTTCATTTAAAGAAACAAACTGTACAGGAAAATAGGGTAGAGTTGGGTTCCCTAATCAAACACGACTTTCTCTGTAGCAAAACCAAATGGGGTCTTTCAGCTTCTGTGTTGTAGCATCTGACCTGAGAGAGGTGGAGAAACCCTGTCTTCCCTCCTGAGAGCTGTGAATAGGCCATCTCACCACACCTTGGCTGCTGTTCCTAGTCGGGTTGATTTTTGTCACACTGTAGGGCAGAAGTGGTCCCTTTGTCACGGTGAGGCCAAATTCTTATGCATGTTCTGGCAGGCCAGGTGGGCAGCCGGTGTGAGAGGAAAATAATGGGGGGTGACATGGGGCACATTGGGGCCTCTTAGCACGTCTTTAGCATAGGCCAGATTTAGAGCTCATAGTTGGGAATGGTAGAGTTAAAACTTTTAAAATTTTCTAAATTCTGTATTTGGGTATTAACATTTAATAATAATTTGACAATGGTTTATAAAATAATGTTCTGAATACTGTAAATTATGTGTAGGACTATAATAATGGCATGTGTCTGTTTTTTATTGTTGAGGTTGAAGATGTGCATATAATACATCACCGTATATTTTTACAGAGTAAGGTCTGTCTTGCAAAAGGAGACGAGTTGATAACCTTGCACATATTTATTTGCTAATTAGCAGACTGGACACACTCAGAAATGCTTTTTTTTGCCTTTTGAAGTGTATGTTGATTCAGATGCTGTTTTGGTTCTCAGACTTGGACTCATCCAAACTGCCCGTTCTGTGTTTCTTCGTTTCGGACTTTGGCTTCTGGGGGTGACCTCAATGTTTGATTGTAATTCCTCTCTCTGTCCCGCTCTGAGGTGCTGTCTGCCCAGGGTGTTTCTCCACCCGGAGGGATCCCGGCCCCGTTTGTAAGTGGTTCTTACCTACAGAACTCTGTGCTGTGTCACAGACTAACGTTCTGTGTCCACCTGGCACCTCAGCCTCCAGGTCGTCCAGAACCCCCCTCCCTCTGTGAGGAGCCAGACCTGTCTGCCAGGCTGGCCTTGGGAGCCAGGTGGTCCGGTGACTTGTCACACCACACCGTCCTCCTGGAGGGAGGAGGGTCAGGGCCCCAGGAATGCTGTCTCTTGGGAGCATGTCGCTGGACCTTTCTCCCACATGTGCCCCAGGGAATGTCCACTACGAAGTGATTGGTGCTGGCTGTCAGTTTTCTGGGCGCTGAGGTTGCCTGCTGGCAATGGGCCCAACTCCTAGTGCAAATGAATAAAGGTTTTTGTATAGTCATGCACTGAAGGTTTCATGTGGCTTAATTCAAGGAACCGTGTGTGTAGTGTTGAAATCATTTTTATCCTTCAGTCGTACTAAGGACCCTTTCATCTGTCCAGCCTGCTGCTTACTTTCCTGTCGCTGCACTGGGCTAATCGCACAGCACACCACAGCACACAACTGGCTGGTGCCTCTCAGAGCAGCCGTTTTAGATGAGAGCCAAGCTGGGCCCCTCCCTTGAGCACTTGCCTAGGCTTAAATGACTAAAGAGGGGGACGCGGACATTTGGAAACAGCGTCTTCCTCCTTAAACAGGCCTCCAGGACACTAAAGAGACATGGCATTTATTTCAAGGGAGTAAGGAAATGTACAGCAGAAGACCTGGGGGCCCCAGCCTGCCTCTGCTTCCTGCTGCCGTCTCTCCTGCGCTGTCAGCAGACCGGCGGCCGGGGAAGGCTAGGTGAAGAAGAACAGCTGCTCCTCCTTGTCCTCGTCCATCAGCACATGCTCAGGCTCCTCCTTTGTTTTCAGAGCCGGGGGCTGGGAGCGGCACACCAGTCTTCTGCCTCTCTGCAGAGGAAGCGAGCTCAGTGAGCCTGTGCTCTGGGCCTCACTGCACCAGGGTGCCGCCCAGACACCGAGATGTCAGACACCCTGCCCCCAGCATGCCAGGAGGCCGCTGAGCTGGACTGTGTGTCCCCGTGGACCGTCCCAGCCTCTCTGGGCACTCCTGGTCAGCCAGCAGGTCAAAGGCTGGAGTTGCCCTGAAATGACCCAGAGTGTGAGTCCATCCCATGTTTACAAAGCCTGTTCCCTGGGGTGCCAGCCCCTAGGTGTGTGTGTGTCAGGGCAGGGGGGTAACACCTGGGAACACACTAGGGATAGCAGCTGAACAGAGGAAGCCCATCTCTTGCTCTGAGGGTTGTGGAGGAGACCCTGCAGTGCCCGCGGTTCCCCCGTGACGACGTGGAGCATGCTGGTCAGTTTAGGGGAAAGCCCGTCGGCCTCGTTTGTCTGTTGGGGGCCGTGTTCAGGTTCAGGCCTGCTAGAGGGACAACCTCCTATTGCCAGGGCCAGAAGGCAAGTGGCTGCTCCAGCCCATTTGCTGTGGGGTGGAGGCCTCAGGACACAGCAGTCGGAGTGACCCCTAGTGACAGCTTGGCCTGGGGTCTGGCTGGAGTGGAGGTGATGTGGTGGGACTCTGGGGCTCAGCCCTTCGTGCCAGTCTCTGAGCTGAGGCCTGTACCTGGGCAGGGCTGGGAGGGCATGGCCAGGCCAGTCACTGACCAGGAGTATGTGTGCAGGAGGGCCGGCAGCCCCAGAGGAGGGCTTCTGACGGAGGCAGGTCCGGGGGGTGGAGGGCGGCCTTGGGGGCAGCGGGAGACCGTGTTCCACCCTGGCCTTGCTCTGATGGCCCCGTCCCCACCCCAGAACCTCTGCAGTGGCGTCTGCAAAGGGGATGAGCAGGCTTGCTGCAGGCCCTGAGCCCTCCCAGCCCC